CTTGTTGCTACCGAAGTGTCCGGCGTAGAGGACGTCGTGATATTCTTCGAGTAGTAACTGGCGCAAAGGAGGGTAATTGGGTACCCAGATTTTTGTTGATCCTTTCCGGTACGCGATGTCACTGTCCCACTGTAGCAGATGTCGCTTTTCTGCCAAGGGAATTTCGGGGTCGATGGCGTACCCGTGGGTGAAGAGTCCCTTGAGTAGTGGATTCATCCCTTCGACCTGAATCGCGGCAACGTGTGCAGGCCGGCTGAGAGCGTCTGCTTTGTTCTTGTGGCCGGGCTTGTACACGATGTCGTAGTGGAAGTGTGTCTCGAGGAAGTCAATCCACCGGACCTGCCGCCTGGAAAGGTTGGGTTGTGTCTTCAAGTATTTCAGGCTGCAGTGGTCGGTGTAGACGGTCGTTCTTCGTCCTTCGAGATAGCATCTCCACGCTTTGAAGGCGATGATGATAGCAAGAGCCTCTTTGTCGTGTATCGGGTAGTTGAGTTCTGCCCCGTGCAGTTTCTTGCTGAGGTAGGCAATTGGTTGCAGTCCATTCCCCTGGTCTTGCATTAAGACTGCTCCCACTGCCTGGTCGCTGGCGTCAGCTTCGATTACGTAGTCGCGTTCGGGATCTGGCAAGATGAGCACCGGTGCGGACGTTAGTGCTTGTTTCAGCTGCTCCACGGCTTCCTGGTGCTTCGTCTCCCATTTGTAGGGCGTGTTCTTCTTCAGCAGATTCGTGAGTGGTGCCGCGAGTTTCGCATACTGTGGCACGAACCTGTTGTAGTAATTAGCGAAGCCTAGGAACTGCTGCAACTCCTTCACGTTCTCGGGTGTCTTCCACGTACGTACGGCTTCGACTTTCTTGGGGTCGACGTGAACTCCTTGAGCGCTCACCAAGTGTCCTAGAAATTGGACTTTCTCCAGGGCGAATTCGCTCTTGGACAGTTTGACGTAGAATCGTTCTCGTCGAAGAATTTCGAAGACGCGTCGCAGGTGTTCGACGTGCTGCTTCATGTCGCGCGAGTAGATGAGTATGTCGTCCAGGTACACCACCACGCATTCGTCCAGAAGTGGTCGTAGAATGTGGTTCATTTTGGCTTGGAACGTTGCCGGCGCGTTGGTGAGTCCGAACGGCATGACCAAATACTCGTACGATCCGTACCGAGTTCGGAAAGCAGTTTTGTGGATAGAGTTGTCCGCCATCCGTATCTGCCAGTATCCGGACCGCAGATCCAGTTTGGAAAATACCGTAGCTCCCCGAAGCTGGTCAAGCAGGTCATCGATTCGCGGTATTGGATATTTATTCTTGATGGTCTGCTTGTTAAGAGCTCGGTAGTCGATGCACATGCGCAGGCTTCCGTCCGGTTTCGGTGTGAAGAGTACTGGGGCACCGTATGGCGAAGTAGATGGTCGGATGAGTCCTTTGGCTAGGAGATACTCGATCTGCTTCTTGATGTCGGTCAGCTCCGTAGGGCTGAGCCGATATGGTGCTCGGAAGGTCGGCTTCGAACCCGGTTCCTCCACGATCTCGTGTTGATGCGTTCGGTATGGCGGTAGCTCGTTCGGAAGATCGTCAGGAAGAATGTCTTGGAACTCCTTTAGTAATTCCTTGATTTTTTCTGGAGTTTCCGAGGCTTTCTCTCCGTCATTCTCCACCTCTGTTGCTATCGCCAGGAACCCGGTGTCGGTCCGCTTCACATCCTTCTCGAATCGTGCAAGTGTCTCCACTGGGATATCTCCAGTATCGTCCCAGTTGGGTAGCTGTACTCTCCGTCCATTGTTGTAGATGCTTGCGGTGCGGTTCACCCAGTTGATCTCGGGGTTGAATTTTTTCTGGAAGTCTCGCCCGAAGATCAAGTCAAGCCCTTTGATGTTGGTGATGGGGAGTGCAGGTCTCCAGCGCAGTGGTCCAATTTGTAGGTGTAGCACTGCTTCGCCGTGTACTGGTAACTTGCTGCCGTCCACCATCGTTGCAGAGAATCCCGAAGGCTTGTACTCTTCCCGAAGTCGGTCGATCATTGCCTTGTCGCAGACGGTGTGTGACGCTCCGCTGTCCACGAGTGCTTGGAGGCGTCGTCCTTTGCAGATGACCTCGAGCACGAGGGGCAGTCGTTGCTCGGAGTACCCAAAGATAGTTTCATTGATTGGGTCATAGGGTACATCCCAATACGCCGTACACACCTTTGTGTTGCTGTCTACTCCTGAGCTGGCAGCTGGCCGAGGCTGCTTGGAGAACGGCTCTTCTCCGGGGCCCGGAGTTTCCCTGACGACTGTGCGCGTCACTGATGCCGAAGAACTGGATGCATCCGTAGGAGGAGTTCGGGGTTTGTGCAGCTTCTTGTAGACCCCCAGCTTCCTCTTGAGCTGCTTCAGCTCCACCGACGTCTTCCCTGGGGAGCGGGTAGTCGTTGTGGGCTGGTGTCGGGAGAGGACGTTGACTCCGTGGAAAGGTCGGCTTCTTTCCACACTCCTTAATTTGGTCCCCAAGTTGTCCGGTACCGGTATAATCTCCACAGCGGTCTGCTTCTTTTGGAGTCCCTCCCGAAATTTCTCCAAGGCTCTAGCCCCTCGAACATCATAAGTTTTCATTAAAGCATCTTTATAAGATAACTTTAACGAACTCTTATAATTTCTTGGGTCTTCAAGGAGTTTCCCTGTCTCGGCAGAGTCTTTTTTCGCGGAGTCGTAATTTTCCTCGGCGATTTTCCCTGGCGAAGACTGGTCGTGGGGTGGAGATTTTCCCCCATCATTTCCTCCTTCTCGCGTCGAATCAGCTTCGTCGAAGTTGATTTTTCCGGAATCCCGCGGCCGCTTTCGGATCTTTTTATTTTCGCCAGCTAGATCCGCAATCACTGGCGACTCCCGTTTTTTGTCTTCTGATTGGCCGAAAGATTTCCGCCACTGTTGCGTGTCCGATACTCTGCGCGTGCGGCCTTCATTTTGTTGCAGTCGAAGATTCGGTGGCCTGGCACCCCGCAAAAATCACACGTGTAGTTGGTGTTTTTCGGACGTGGCCGCCCCTCGAATCTGTCGACTTCCATCGGGTCGGCGAACGTGGGGTGAGCCGAGCGGTCGCCCTGTCGCGTACTGCCGACGTGCGTCCGTCGTGCTCCGGCGTTGACCATGTCGAAGCGCTCCGCTGCCGAAACGACGTCACTGTAGCTCGCGTAGTTTGACGCTGCGACTTGTCGTTTGACTTCGGTCTTCAGCCCTGCGAGGTACGATTGCACTTTTTCCCCTTCGGTCAGGTCGGGAATTCGGTTATAAAATTCTTCCATCTGCTGCGTGTACTGTGCTACACTCCCGAACTGTCGATGACGATGAATTTTTTCGCGGGCAAGGAAACTCGAATTTATCGGTTCGAAGCGTTTCAGCAGGTCGGTGCGGAACTGCTGCCACGTGGCTTCACCGTGGATGAAAGTACTGTTGCCGCCAATCCACTCGAGTGCCGGCCCTCGCATTAGTGTCGCCGCGAGTCGTACGCGTTGACCGTCCCAGACTGGCGAGCTCCATCCGACGGCTGCGAAGTAGATCTCCATCCCGGCGATCCATCTGCGGGCGTCGGAGTTTCGATCGCTCGGATCGAACGGCTCAGGTGGGCGCGGTTTCGGAGCCTCGAGAAACTGCTGCGACTGCTGCGTCGTCGCCGTTGTCGTCTCGTGTTGCGCTCCGGCGAGTCGAGTTACTCGCTCGAACTGGTTTCGCCACGCTTCGCGATCCGCTCGCATTTCCTCCTGAAGGGCTGCGATGCGCGCGAAGAGCTGCTGGGTAACCTCGGCGTTGTCGAAGGTTGCCATCCTGTTCAAAACACGCACGGAGGGGGTAATTCGAAAATCGCGGAGCTGGTGCTTACCAGAATCGGCGTCGAATTGGTCGCCCCCGGCGGTTTTTCGAGGCAGGATCCCCGCTGCTGCTGCTTAGCTGAGCGCGGTCGAGTGAGAAAAGCTCTGATACCAAGTGTCACAGGATCGAATGTGTCGAGGAAAGGTTGCACTATCGATCAGTACAAGGTGCTTTTATACTTCCAGAGTACATCAAGTAACCAGGTTTATCTTATCCTAAGGGAATAGACCCTTCTAGAAGATAGAATCACCCTGCGTATAGCCACGCGAGGATATTGGCTTTAAGAGATTACGACAGGATTACGCTAGATAGCGTGTCTAGAACATTCCATGCTTGGTCGGTGATATAAGTATAATAAGGGAAGAAACCAAAGGATAATGGAAAATGGGGAATATGAGGCAAAAGGAGGTGAGATAAAAAGAGGAATGAAATGAAGATGAAATATGGAAAAGGCCAAGTGGTGTAACGGAGTCGTACTCTTGAGGCTTGGAGTAGTGCAGCGGAAGTTGAGGCAGTTGAACCCTTGTACTAGTATGTGAGAACAAGTGATTGTTTAAAGAAACAAGCATACAGCAATATATAGAAGATGAGAAAGCAGTTGTAGAGTACAGTTACAGGAACGGTTTATCGAGTCGCACAGCGACTCGATTGCCGCTTCGGTTACCATCCGTGATGTTGTAACGGTCAGTCGCAACCTCCAGTTGCGACCTTTCGAGTCTTTTCGCATTCTTTGTCCGCCCCCTCATGTAACCTCCGTTGACTCGCGTGCTCCCCTGTAGTCTTCCTCGAGTGCAGTGTTACACTTCAGAAACGCTTAAGTCCTTTGAGATATTTCCAACAAATTTAACAATAAGTGGGCTAAGGCTTGACGAGCGGGAACGAATGCGAGACAACCCTCAGAGATTACCGACTGTGGAAAGGAACTGGTGAAATCGGGAAGTGTGTAAAGAGCGCCGGGAGTGGGAGCGGCTTCCCTTAGGCCGCGATATGATGTGAGAAGTACACCATGACGGCATGAAGCCGCACTCGCTGGCGAGGAGAGTGCAAATGCCGGGGTGCAATGCCACTGAGTGTAGCATCATAACATGTTCAATTTGCTGAGACATTTTCCACGTCGTTATTAGCGTGTTCATTACTACGATACCAGTGCCTCTGGCCCTGGAGAAATGAGCATAAATGTCATGTACTACAATCGATACATAGTAATATTCCCTCAATATACCACACAAGATACACAAATTTCAAACCAATCCACTTTACAAGCATTTCCAACTCAAGAGCACCTAAGTGCTCTTTGTTAAGAAGCCATTAGCTTCCTCAGTTTTGGAGTTTGTCCATTATTCTTCATAAGATAGGAATTTGCAGGGATTAGCATGCACCCAGTGGGGTCCATGCTAGATGGTGCGGGTGTTGTAAGAGCCGCAGGCAGAACACTTGTGGTACAGCCAGTGGAAAGACGCATTTCCCTTGGCCTCACAGTCATTGCAGAGAATGGCCTGGAGGGAGCAGGGAAGAATGGAGTGAAGATAGCGCAGGGATACCATAACAAGGGATTGGTGCAGTGAGAGAGAAAAGAGAAAAAGAGAAAAGAGAAAAGAGAGGGGCCAAGAGAAAAGAGTGAAACGTCAGCATAATCAGACGAGATAATCAGACGAGAAAGCGCACGAGAAAGAGCAAGAGCACTTGGGCCCACCTGCTGTCGGTTGCGGTACTCCTCTGGGAGCTGCTCTGCTGCTAGTAGAGCATCCAGCATCCCAAAGTACACCTGATGAATACAGCAGAGGCAGAAGTGGGGGGGAGGGGGGGCAAGGCAACATGTCAGCAGCAAGTTGGCACAAGTGCACAATGACGGGAAAAGCAACGTCAGTTGTAACCACCAGCGTACAACCCCGCATGAGAGAAGCAGTAGTTGGACTCAAGGGCCGTTTAGCTTGTCAATTGATCTCAGAGAGCCCAAAAACAAAAAAGAAAACACCCACCCACACACACACACACAAACACTGCAAGGACCGCTGGCTTACCCGCATGTCCCCCACGGACTTGCAGCAGATGGGGCAGGTGTAGTGCTCGCAGGTGTACGCCTGGAAGCATGCCGAGTGCATGAAGTGGCCGCAGGGGAGGGCCTTAACTGGCGCAGAGGAGGTGAAGAGGAAGTCATGGCAGATGGGGCAGTTGGACTCAAGGCCCTTCTCGCGGCACTTGTGGGTGGCGAGCGTGACGGACATGCACGCGTTGCATGTCATGCAGTGGAAGTAGTCAATCCCCAGGCCCCGCCCCACGCGGCACAGGTTGCAGAACGGACAGTGGTAGATGTCCCTGGTGGGTGGGTGGGGGGGAGGGCGTTGGGGTGCTTAGTTGCTACAACCGCGTTTAGCGTTTTAAACGCGGGGTTGTGGAGCCGTAAACGCTTGGCAAACGCTAGCCCGGGCAGGGGTAAAACTTTTTCCCTGACAGGGGTAAAAACTTCCAGGGCGGGATGGGGAAAGGAAGGGGGTCTGGCACAGTAAATTACCACTCCATAAAGTTTCAAATTATAAGCATTTAAAGCACAAGTCTAGAATGGTAAAAAACCATGAATACTGGGCATGAAAACAGTGCCAAAAAAACTGGGCGAAAGTAAATTTCGGCAAATGTCATGCGAACAACCACGTTCTTAAGCTTAAGCCCATGCTCTCCCTGCTACCATGCCTACGTGCGCAACCCCTTAGCGAAATTAAAACCGAGTCTAGAATGGTTTGCTATCAAGTTCAGGAATCCTGATCTTGTTTTCGTCCAATAGAGGGTAACGTAGTAAATGACGTTTGAACGTCGCAACTCTCAGGGAACAGGGGGCAGCTTGCGAATGCCACTGAAAAGGACAAACCCGCAATTACTGTTCATCTCAGTATTCTTGATTTTCACCTGCGACCATTCTGAACGCATTTTTGTGGGGGTCTCGCGTCACTGTTTGTTCGCCCCCTTCCCCCGCCCCCCACACACTGTTCATGCACGCACTGTTGAACTCGGTTCTTGCCGATGAAATTCCGTGCTGCGATCACGGTTCTGCTATTTCGCCAAATTCTGTATTCGTCGGGGTAACTTTGCCAAAATTACATACGCCCAGTTTTTTTGGCACTGTTTTCATGCCCAGTATTCATGGTTTTTTACCATTCTAGACTCGGGCTTTAAATGTGGGTAAGCTTAGGTCTAGCTTTCACTTGCTGAAATGTCTACGTCTATTGCACGCTAGTTTAGAGTTCGCGTAATTGACCGGGAGGAGTTTGTGTGAGGAGCTGGTTGGAAGCGGGGTTGGAAATTCTAGATGGAAAGGATTGCAGTGCGGTTGAGGGAGGGGAGTTGGTTGGAAACAAAATTTTGACGAAATGGTTGGGAGTTACGATTTGGAAAATGTCTGGCTGGATTCGCCAAGTCGCAATGTCGCGGGAAAAAATTCCGCGCTTTTTTCCGTTGGGCTGCCCTAAATTTTTTTTAGCGAGCGTTTGCGTTGGGGGTGCGTTTAGCGTTCAAACGCTAGCGTTCGAACGCTAAACGCCTGCCTGGCTGAGCGTTTGTAGCAACTAAGTTGGGGTGTAGGGATGCAATGTTTGAGAGTCAATCCATCGTGATCCGCATACCTTTCACCCAATAAGATCGTATCTGCTTCTGAGTCGACTATCAAATTTTTTCGCTCGAACATAGGTACTGTACTTTCTCATACTCCCATCTCTCACCTGGCATCGTCAAATAGCTTGCAGATGCTGCAGTAGTGCTTGGCCATGGAGTAGCCATTGCAGGAAGGCGTGGCACAGTGCTGCCCCACAGGCTGCACCTGCAGGCACTTCATGCACATCATTTCCCGCACTGCATGCCTGGTGGATCAGGGGGCGGAGTGAAAGGGGGGAGCACGGCAGGAATTATGGTTGGAATGTGGGTGGGGTGGGCACTGAGGCGCCTTAAACCCACAGGGGCTGCACATGAGGCACTTCATGCACATCATCCCCTGCACCGCATGGCCGGTGTAAGGGGAAGGGAAGAGAAGGGAAGGCAAGCACTAGGTTGGAACGAGGGACAGGCAATTGAGGCCAATCAAGATTCCAACAGCTGCACCTTCAGGCGCTTGATGGCCTCCTTTCTCTGCCTGTCCATGGCGTAATCAGCAACTCTGTCCTTTCAAATTTTGTATCTACCGGTTCATAGAATGGTCGGCAAGCTTGTCATAGGATGTATCTATAATCTACCTGTCCATGAATGCATGGCCGGCAACGTTGTTATCCTCTACACCCACCTGTCCATGGCGTGGTCGGCAACCTTGTCGTGGCAGAAGCGGCAGGAGACGAGCTTGCCGCAGCACACGGCGCGCACTTTGCAGTTGCGGCGGTAGTGCTGGCAGCCGAAGATGCCCTTCTCCTCGTCGTGGTACGACGCGCACAGCACCTCCTCCTCAGGGGTGTCGTGCGACGACTTGTGCTGCTGCTGCTGCGCCACAATCCAACGGCTGCAAGTACACACAAGCACGATATGTTACAGGTATGAGAAGGCACATGCTTGGAAGAGGAAGCATCATAGAAGATGGAATAACTCAGGCACTGGTAATGGGAAGGCTGACAAGTAGACGTAGGATGAAAGACAAATGGATCATGCAAAGAGATGCAGGCCACAGTCACGCCTGTATACAGTCAGGGTAATCCCAAACATCATGTAGCAGGCGCAGGCGCAGGCAGCAGGCGCAGGCATCAGGCAGCAGGCAGCATGCCGCATGCAGCAAGCTGCAGGCAGCATGCGGCATTCAGCAAGCTGCAGGCAGCATGCACAAGCATCATCCAGCAAGCCGCTGGCAGCATGAGCAAGCATCAACTAGCAAGCCGCAGGCAGCATGAGCAAGCATCAACCAGCAGGCCGCAGGCAGGCAGCACGGACCTGGTCATGAGGTTCTGCATGAGGTACGCCTTCCTCCGGGGGTCCAGCGACGAGTCGTTGGACACACGGCGGATGGCGGCCTCCAGCTCCTTCTGGTTCATGCGGAATATGTTGTGCCACCCCGGGCGAAACGTCCTCTTATCCTTCTCCACCTCCTTCCCCACCTCCTTCCCCTGCGCCCCACTCTCACCCACTTCCCCACTGCCTCCAACCCCCCCACCCCCACCCCTACCCCCACTTCCACCACCTCCTTCCCCTCCCCCGGCCGCCTCACCACCTGGCACAACAGAACAATCTGCTGCACCACATCCCTCCCTGCCCGTATCCGCCCTGTCTAATGACGCCCCTTCCGCGACCTCCCCACAACCAGCACCACCCACACCTGTATCATCTGCACGCGACGCTGCTACCGCGCCCCACTGGTCTGCTGCTCGTGACCCATCGCTCTCTAGATACTCAGCCACCATCTGCAGGGCGTCTGAGGAGAGGCTATCCGCTAGCTCGTCCTTGTGGTCTTGGTGGCCGGGGGAGGGGGGTAGGGGGTTGGCCGAGCCCGCAGGGGACTTCCACCAGGCGCTCAACCATTGGTCGAACATCGTGTTACGGGACGCATTGCGCCACGTGTCGACCATCCGCGCCTGCTCGTCGTCTGAAAGCGCTGCTGTGATCCACGTCAGCATGGCCTGAGATGGAAGGGAGAAAAAATGCTTGAGTGTGTGCTGTCTATAAACCCACCCTTCTCCATTCTCCTGCTCCACCCCTACCCCTCCCTTTCTTCCCTGTCTCCCTAACACAAATGCTTAACTCCAGAGCTATATTAACAACTCATTACGAGTTCAGAGTAGCAAACTCCAGAGGTTGCTACCTATCCCATAAAATCTCATACCTGCAGAACCTCCGCCCCTGTGGTGCCAATGATGCGCCCCACAATGGCGTCCTGCTCCTCCATGCTGAAGTGGATGCCAAACAGCGGCCACAACTCCAGCTCCTCCCGGGAAATATGCTGGTCCAGGCACAGCCGCACCGACAGGCTCATCCGATGCACTCTCTCCGCCAACTCCCTCCTCCTCTCCTCCAGCTCCTTCACTTGCTTCCTCGCCTCCTGCCACTCCGCTTCCCCTCCACTCTCCTCCGCTTTTGCAGCCACCGCCTTGGCTTTCTTTATCAAGGAGATGACCCCTGAGAGCTGGTTCAGAACGCCGGCAATGGCATCGAAGAGCTCCTCCTCCTGCTTGTGGTCGATCGTGTACGAGTGGCTCACATTGTGCAGCGCCTCCTTCGCCTCCAGCGCTGGAAACACAATCTCGTCCTCTGCATTGCTGTGAGCCCTGTACAGCCCCCACAGGAAGTGAAACCGCCCGCTGAAATCCCTGGCGGCATCATCGTCGCACGTGGCGAGCCGCGCTGACTCAGCAGAGAGGTACTCCAGATCCTTTCTCAACGCCTGGTGGAAGTGGAAGATAGCGTCAATGGGCCGCTGACTCGATGAGCTTCCTCTGTCATTCGAAAAAATCCCTGGACCCAGCACGCCTCCTGTGAGGAACCCCCCTCTGGTGGCGGATGAGAGAGTGAGAGCCCGGCCTGCCGTACTTGAGAAGCTGAGCGCTTTAGAGCCAAGAGATTCCGGGTCGGGAGCAGACAGCTGCATTGGAGGAGGAGGCTCGGGTTTGGCTAGGATTGCTGGCAAGCTATGGAATGATCCGCCGAGGAGTCTAGCCCGCTTGGAGGGAGGGGTAGTGACGCTGTCCTTTGGGCTGGCTGCTGTACGCTGCGATCCGACCTCCCCTGATGCTGCCTCCCCCCCAGATGCGCTTGAGTGTACTGAATGGTCTCCTGCTTTTACAGTTGAAAATGGTCTTGGAATGTCGAATACGCTGGAATCTAAGGCTTGAGATGCCGTGGTGTCGTCAGATTGGGGTGGGTGTTTACTGGCCCAGGATGTGAACAGAGAGACCAGAGGCACATCCATCTCCGGAGCTGCAGACGAAGAAAAACACAAAGAAAAAGACATGCTCTTTGTTAGCCTTCTGGCATGGTCTTGACTGCATGGTGCATCCGCAGGCAGTCTCGTCATCCCCTTCTGAAAAAAAGAGAGGAAAAGACCCTCACCTGCGAGCTTCATATTTTCAACAATCTCTGTGGCCTCCTCCTTTGTGACGAACGTCATGACCCACGGGAGCACACGCTCCAGCAGCCGGAGAGGCATGACCAGCAGGCAGCGGTAGACAAGCCGTCGCTGCTCATCCAGACTGCAGTGCTGCCGCAGCAGCGGGAAAACCTGCACAGCCAAGTTGCACCACATCAAACACCAATGTCTCCGCTTGGATTCGTAGACGCAATTGCTTTACTCGTGCTGCAAAACGAAGAAGAGGAAAAAAATCCACTCAGAATGGCAAGGGGGTGTTTTTTTCAACTCACGTCATCCTCTTCGGCTTGCAAGTGCTGGTCCAGGGACTCGACAATCGTCAAGGCTTGTTGCTTCAGCTCTGAGAGCAGTGGCTCAGCAGCGCTGGGGCTGTGCTCCATCACATGCCGGACCTCATCCAGCAGATGCCCTACTGCAGCGAAGAGCTTCTCCTCGTTTGCATGGGCCTGTACATAGCGTGTTGGAAGGTCTACACGCTGCGAGAGAGCAGGGAAAACCACCTGGTCCTCTGCCGTGCTGCAGAGACGAAAAAGTGGAGCCACAGGAGGACCATGTCAGCCATTCCCCAACGACCTGAATCTGGACAAATACAAGGGGTTCAAGAAAAGAATGTAAACTGTGAAAGGAAATGCTTGCTCGAACATACCTGTGAAAAACGCAGATATCGGAGAGGAACCGGTATCTTCTGGTAAGGTTGTCGAAAGTGTTGAGCTCCAGGCCTTTCACTTCTCTGTTGAAAGCTTCCAGTTCTTTTCTGATTGCATTATGCCAATACAGCAGCTCGTCAATTGGATGCCTGGTTCCTGGAGCTGTAGAATCCCGAGGTGAACCCTTTGGAGCCTTATGAACTGCCACACTGGATCCTGAAGCGGCCAATTGGTGAGCGATTTTAGTCCCTAAGAGCTTCGGCTTCATCAACCCTGTCCATCTCTCGTGAATTTTCGGGAACACGCCATGCATTCGGCTCATCCAACCAGAAACCACCTGACAGGGAGAAAAAGGCACGAAAGGACAGTTAAAACGAGCACATCGCCGGCTGAAAACAACGTCTGGACTGCTAAGCTCACAATACCCACCTCCTGCAAAAGCTCCTCTTGCGGAACAATCTTGTGCATGTGCTCCACCATCTGCTCTTGCTCATTTTCCGTGAGATACGAAGCCATCCAGGGGAGGCAATCTTCCATGAGTTTTATCGGCATGCTGCACATAAATTGCCAGACCAGATTGGCCTGCTCCACCGCGTCGAAATGCTCCACCAGCAGCGGAAACACCTGAACGACAGAAAGTAACCGTTACCCTTGTGAGCTGTCTGCGAAAAACCGGGAGAGCTCGCGATAAACCTCGAGACGGGACGAGAAACGAAAGAACGGTAGCCATTACTACGACACTGACCTGCTCTTCCTCTTTGGACAAATGCTGGACGAGCACTGTGAGCAAGGCCTCCGTGCAGCAGATAAGCTGGCTGAATAGACTGCGTTCCATGGTCTCGTCGCGTCTTAGGTTGGATACAAGGTCGGAGAGCTGGTCGAAAAGGTCGCTCTCCACTTTATGCTCGAGCGTGTACGCATGAGCGACGTTCTTAACGCGGGAATCCAGCGCAGGGAATACCACCTGAGGCAGAAATTCGACCTTGTCAGTAACTCGTCAGAAATCTGAAAGCCTGCGTGAAACGGTTGCCGTTTAGCACTCTAAAGTGCAGCGTACCTCGTCTTCTGCCGTGCTATGGTACTTGTAGACCATTCTAAGGAACTCATAGCGTTCCAGCAACACCTGCGTATCCTTCTTTCCGCCGCGCTCTAAGGCCAACGCAGTGGTGTGAAGCTTGTCCAATTCGGCCTTAATCGCTTTGTGAAAGAACAAAAGATGGGAGATGGGAGAAGACGACAGAGTACGGACTATCGGCAAAGGCGTCACGAGACCGCCAGGAACACTCTCTACCTGGACGGGACCGACCGACGCCATCAGCCAACTTTGAAAGACCTCTAGCTCCACAATTTCTACAAAGCAGCTCCAGACTCAAGGCAGCTTTCACAAGGCGCTTGAAAGGAAGCAGGCGACAAAAGCAACCACCCTGACCCTATTCTATGCCTAGGGATTTGTGGATATGGAGCAGAAAACACATGGTGACCACATGTGTGTGAGTTGGGGAGGGTTTCGGCGGGTCAGAGAACAGCTTTCCCCAGCCAACCCCAGACTGCCTTTGCCAAACCCAGTCACCCTAGACTGCTTTTGCCACGCATCCTGCCTCCCCGTGTCTATTTTTCTCGTGGTCAGCACGCACGTAGGGGTTTTGCTGCAGAGACCAGGTTTGCAAATTCGCGTTGTAGCGAGCTGGCCCTCGATAGTTGCACGCTTGTCTGGGGCAATGGATCTGGCGTAAATCCCAAGAAACGGGCAGTGCTTGCGTGGCAGGGCAAGTGACGTTTGAGTGCCTGCCTTACTTTTCAGAGAAGCTGGCCGTGTGGAAGGAATTCGTGGTGTGTTGTGAGCACAGGCACAATGACCGACACAGAAGGAAATTTATGTACAGTACACCGTTCTTGTGCGTGTAACAAACTTTCGGGTTCCCTGCTAAGAACAACAATTTCGCTCTAGCAACCAAAACGCCTCCTCCCCCCAACGAAATTCTTTAGTTCCATTCCATTCCAACTCTCCTACAACTACCCACCAATCCCTCGTGAGCAATACAGTCCAACACAACTCCACCCGTCTGTTTCACCCTTGCCCACATTCACCTAGACCATAGAGCTTCACCATTTTGTTTCTGTCATTCTGAACAAGGCCAGCGACTGTCACTTTCTCGCTATTCTTCCAAGCAAGACAAACTTATTTGCAGGATGGAGGGAAGCCAGGAAACGAACAATAAGGTTCATCAATATATGTCTCGAGTCCCTCCAGGTGGGTGTTCTGGCTGAACTACACTGCTAGATGGTAGATTGTGTTGATGACTCAAGATTCTCTTGCAGTGACCGAGTTGCTCCAGCCTCTCGTGGAGGAGCATTGTCCTTCCTTATCCTACGTCTTCGGTAGCCACAATGGCACATTTGAGGGTTCCAACGGAAGTTCCAGTCCGCTATCACTTGCTCGTTCCTCCGCACCGTCGCTCCACATCCGGCCACCTTTCAGATCTATCTATCAAAACGGCCTGTTTAATCAGGGTTCTTCTGGTACAAAAAACGGTCAGATGAAACCAGGAAGCGTTCTGAGCCGCCAGCCTAGCGCTCCTTTGCTGAATCAAGCCAGGTCGAAGGAGGAGCAGAGTTATCGTGGAGCAACCCAGCAGCGTAAGAGCAATGTCGTCCAGGCGGCGGACAGGACTAGTGGATACAGCGAGCGGGAGTACGACATTGCGAAGAACCTCGGAAGGCGTATCCTTTTCCTCAGGGCTTCTGGGGTGGAGCGAAATTCGCTGACCAGCATTGATGAAGACCGCTCACGGCAATCCACTGCCAGTCATGTTTCTGTGTCGGTGTCCGACGTGGAATTGCTGCTTCTAGAGGGATGCGATGAAGCCGGACCTGGAAGGAACAGCACCTCCGAGAGCTAGGAGACTAAGTATGTCAGAAATATGAACACAATTTGCAGCCATCCCATGCTGGTGTAGTCTCCAGTACTTGCAGACCTGACATGAACATGACAATCTTAAAAATTCCTGCTTACTTTTGCACATTGAGTTAAAAGTTTATTCTTTGAACTCTCTGTTTCACTGATCAACTAACCAATGAGCAACAATAAATCAGTTGCTTCATTAATTATTGATCTAACTTCAACAATCTGACACTCTCAGCAGATGGCAGACTGGTAACACCCATCAGTACTTGGTCAAATCCTTGATCCCCAAGCTATGTGCCACAGCAGTCAAGTCATAACTAGTCTTCTTAGCAGGCGCTTCCTCTATAATCACACTCACTGCCCCCTTACACTCCTGCTCCACCACCCCCTGCAGATTCACAGCATCCTGCATGCCTCTGCTGCCCCTCACAAGCCCACTGCTGGGGCTGCCGGGGGTGGCTTCAGGAGGAGGGGGGGAGGGGTGCAGCGCAAGGGAGGCGAGCGAGGGACACATGCGGAGGATTCGGCGAAGCTCGGCCGTGGAGGGGAGGTTGTAGGAGAAGGAGAGGGAGGAGAGAACCGGGAAGATGACGGTGTCGCCATCTGCTGTGGTTTTGGCTCTCTCAAATATGCCTCTGAGGAGAGAGAGCAGGGAGAGGAGGAACCAGGATCAGGCAAGGACTACATGATTTGGCAGGACAAGCCACATGACATGCCGTCACAAGACATGTGATAGCATGGCACACTGTGACATGGTACACCATCACATGACATGCCTTGGCAGAAGGGGCGGGTGCAGAGATGTGAGAATCTGGAAGGTACCATCAATATAGCTGCAACTGAAAATATTTTCGTACCAGCTAATCACAGGGCAGCTCACCTCTGGTAGCCATGGAGGGCGAGGGAGTGCAGATGGGCGCAAGAGGCGAGGGCAAACACGCCGTTCTCCGAGATGTGGTTGCCGTTGATGGCCAGAGACTGCAGGTGCGGCCACTTGCGGTTCACCTGAGGGGGTCATGGGACGGATGGTGGAAGTTTGCACGCTGAACGATAGCCGATGGGAGCACAAGGCGAGGGCAAACACGCCGTTCTCCGAGATGTGGCTGCCGTTGATGGCGAGGGACTGCAGGTGCGGCCACTTGCGGTTCACCTGACGGAAATAGCAGTGGAATCAGCCACCTGTTCACACCCATCTTCACCTATGTTAGACACCCTATGCACACCTGCCGCAGAAGGTTGTCTCCCAGGCTGTGAATGGGGATGGCTGGACGCACGCAGCAGAGGACGTTGCCACCTGTTTTCACCCATATGCACCTGGAATCATGTTCAAATACATGCATACGCGTGCCGCACCTGCCACAGGAGGTTGTCCCCCAGGCTGTGGATGGGGATGGCTGACCGCACGTAGCAGTGGAAGCTGTGCACCTTGGGACAGGCTCGGAGGAAGGCTGCCACCTGGAGGGGTGGAAAGAGGAGAAAGGAGAGGGGAGCGGAGGGGGAAAGGATGGGGGAATGGAGGGGGCAATGGAAGGGGGAAAGGATGGGTGAACAGAGGGTGTGAGCAGGAGGAGCAAGGAGTGCACGCAGCAGTGGGAGCTGTGCACCTTGGGACAGGCGCGGAGGAAGGCTGCCACCTGAGGGAAGAGGAGAGAGAGGGGGAAGAGAGTGAAGCGGAAGAGTGAGGGCAGCCAAATCACTGCATGCCTTACCATGTGCATAATTACACCACGCACCTTCCACACACTTCCCCCAGCTTCCCCACACTCAGCAGCAGTTTGGTCGTTACCTCCTAGTAATAGTCACACACACCCCCACCGCAACTCACAGCAGTCTGTGACAAGGTAGTCCGCACCGCAGCAATCAGCGTGAATTCCTCCAAGTCAGCTCCATCCCTGCATAGCCTACATTCACTTCACTATAGTCACACCCCCATCGCGACTCACAGCAGTCTCTGTGACGAGGTAGTCTGCAGCGATCAGCGTGAATTCCTCCAAGTCAGGGCACAGCCGCCCCACCGCCCCCAGCAGGCGGTCTGTGAAAGGCACCTGGCGGGGTGCGAGGGAGTGCAGAGAGGTGAAGCAAAAGGGGCGCAGGGCAATCAGCGACAGAGAACTGTGGAGAGGGATGTAGCCGCCCCACCGCCCCCAGCAGGCGGTCTGTGAAAGGCACCTGGCGGGATGGGAGGGAACAAGTGCACAGTGAGTGCAAGAGAGCAATAGCACATGAACCACATGGTTTTGAGACACTTCAGTACAACGCACGAGAGTAATAGCACATGATCTTAATCACGTGCGAGGGCCACATGGTCATCTAAACCCATACCCCTTCTCCCACCCAGCACCAACCTTCCCCAGTACCCACATTCCCCGGCACTCACCTTCCCCAGAACCCACCTTCTCCGGCACTCGCCTTCCGCAGAACCCACCTTCCCCGGCACCCACCTTCCCCAGAATCCACCTTCCCCAGCATTCCCCTTCCCCAGAACCCGCCTTCCCTGGCACCCACCTTCCCCAGAATCCACCTTCCCCAGCATCCCCCTTCCCCAGAATCCACCTTTCCGAGCATCCCCCTTCCCCAGAACCCACCTTCCCCAGCACCCACCTGCCACTCAAATTCGAGGCTGAGTCGCCTGAGCCCGCCCCCTGTGCCTTCCAGCAGCAGCTCCAGCCCGTGGTGCAGCCAGGGGTTGGGGCGCTCCTGGGGGGGAGAGAGAGGAGGGAGAGGGGAAATATGCGGAGGGGAAAGATGGAGTAAGAGGGGAGCAGCCAGCAGCAGCTCCAGCCCGTGGTGCAGCCAGGGGTTGGGGCGCTCCTGGGGAAGAGGAAGGGGGACAGCAGCAGGTATGAGGAGCGATTTGTCTGCTCTTGAGTCGAGCTTGGGAGCAACGATTGGGAGGATAGCGTTGAGCTTGACGAACGAGCATCCACCAGCAGCACCAGCAGCACCAGCAGCACCAGCACCAGCACCAGCACCAGCAGTAGCAGCAGATCCCTTCTGTACGCGATATACACAATACTAGGCGTACAGACGAGCGAGTTGTCAGCCCACCATGCCAGTATGTGAACGCGGCTGAACGCGATCTCCTCGGTTTCCCCGCACCGCCCCGCGATCTGCTCCAGCCCCGCGCCGTAGAGATTCTCGCCGGCCTCGCCATCCGTTCGCTTTAGAGTCGACTCAAAAGTCACCTCGTACAGTCTCCCGCCGGCCTCGCCGTCCGTCTGCTTACCTCTCTGCGCACAGACTACAGTTTGGTGACCCCCACAACTCCTGGGGTATATTCATACCAGTGGGGGTATTCATACCAGTATGTGCACGTGACTGAGGGCAATCTCCCTGGTTTCCCCGCATCGCCCCGCGATCTGCTCCAATCCCGCGCCGTAGAGATTCCCGCCGGCCTCGCCGTCCGCGCGCACGCGGCGCCAGAGCGGCGGAGCGCGACACGCCGCCCGCCATTTGCGGCCGAGCGTCGATAGACGGCAGAGATCTAACGGCTCGAGGCGCGCGCGAGTGAGAATGTCGACGAGGATGTTATGGTCGAGCGAATCCATACTTGTGCTCTTAGCGCGAACAGCGCTATAGCGCGTATGGCTCTGGAGGGCTTGTGACGGAATCGCTACGAGTGAGGAATGAGAGGAAACGATTTTCCAATTGAGAGATGGAATGGGAAGGGGAAAGTGAGGACGGGGCGGGGGATGCGGCGGGTTCAAGAAGGGTGGGAATGGGAATGGGGACGAGAGGAACATCCAGTGACCGACGGCAAGTTGCTGGAGACACGTTGGTGTAAGGGCGCGGTACATCGCGTCCGTTTCGGAGGATCGCGTTAAATTGTTCAATTGTCTGCTTCAATTGTCTGACTTCGATTCTGTTTCAGTAAAAACGATCTGCAATATCGATCACGAACGCGACATAGCCATGTCCCAGATTTGTAACTTCCGATCTCGAGTATCGATTTGCAGCTGGACAGAATGGCATTTCGCAGAACACTTCGTCAAAACCCAGCAACCCTCCCAGGACATGCCCAATTTCCAACACACACTAAACCGTGACTCGAGTCCACCCAGCATTTTTCGCAATGGCGGGCTGGCGAAGCGCTTTTGATTTCGTGGCATTTGAGGTGAAGCCATCTGGGACTTTGCCGAGGAGGATCGTTAGTGTTTTGGACTCAGGGTTTAGGGATTCCCGATTCATTCCCGGTTTGGCTTCGAAAGTGATCCTGCCCTCCGATCTGCTGCATGACTATTTCGAGACAAGTAGCTGTCAGGTTACCAGCTTTCTACAGTGCCGAGATCGGAAAATGATCGGAGAACCGGACGCAATGTAGCGCGTCAGTTTTCACGAGATAGAATTCATACGGCTTGTGAGACTTCTCGATATAGGTGTCTGGTATCTGTCGTTTGATCAGGTTGCAAAACCAACCACTGAAGGTTACTCACATAGAACATAAATGTCCTTCCAACACATGTTTAGAAATACCTTCGGCTCCTACTACAGCAGCGTGAAAAGGCATCAAATGTATGCTTGGCCAAAACCAAGCTGCGAATCTTTGCTTCTTATCTGCCTGTGATGACATGGCAACTTCCTGCTTCCAGCCTCGATATTGTTGTATGCTTCGCAACAACACCCTTACGAGCCTCCCGAGTTGGGCGTGCAGCACACACACTTCTCATCTCCTCTCAGCCTGTGATGCCAGCTTCCCTTTGTCATTGCCGCTCTCCTCCTCGCTCGCACTGCTTCCCCCAGCATCCGTCGTGTCGCCAAACGAGTAAACCGCCGCAGAAGAACCATCACCATCAACTACCGGCACTTCCTGGTCCACAAACACCTGTCTGTGCACAGCCCCCTTATGGCTCCAATCTTCACTCTCTGACTCAGACCCACTGCTGCTGCTGCTGTTACCACTGTTACCATGGTTACCACTTCGAGGGAACAAAGGCCGTCGTGGAAGGGTGGGAAGGCTTTGCTCGGACGTGGGCGATCGAGGAACAGAGGAGGTGAGTGAGGAGGAGGTGAGAGAGGAGGAGGAGGAAGACGAGGAGGGGTGAGAGGAGGAAGAGGAAGGGAGGGCGGTGGCGGAAGGGGGCATGCCGAAGAGCTGAAGCCGCAGCACTTCGTGCAGCTGGTCCAGC